CTTCTGGGTTCAAGCGATTCTCCTGCCTCAGCCTCCTGAGTAGCTGGGACCGCAGGCATGTGCCACCATGCCTGGTTATTTTTTTGTATTTTTAGTAGAAGTGGGGTTTCACCGTATTAGTCAGGCTGGTCTCGAACTCCCAACCTCAAGAGATTTGCCCGCCTCGGCCTCCCAACGTGCTGGGATTGCAGGTGTGAGCCATCTTGCCTGGCCTCCAGGCTCAGGTTTTCTATCCCATTCCACAACGTCAGTATGAAGCTCATGCCCTTTGGTTCTCACAACAAGCAGTCATATTCACTGAGCTTTTGTGGGGTTGGTAGACTTGACCGAGGGACACTGGCTTCCTCCCTCCTCTTCCTCTCTGACCACTGCTCCTTGCACCTCTTTCCAGACCCTTCTTCCTCTTTTGAGTGGAGCAGCTTTGCCAGGCTCTGAAGCCTCATCTCTGCAGACCCCCAACCACCGGGGGCCTCATCTTCAACCCCAGTACTTATTAAAGCATTTCACTCATGAGAACAGCTCTTTCACTGAGAATTCTGGTGCCTTCTCCACTACTTTGTACATATGTGATATATGTATGTGTGTAATTGTTTATGACTACAGGTGTGCCTGTACCCTAGTGTGTTTGTGACAGGCAGTGGGAGAGGGGTAGATGGAAAATAATTCTGAGACATTATCCACTACCTTATAAGTATGTTTGTACCTTGCTGCGGATGTGATGTGGGCAGTGGGAAAGGAAGCCCCCATGGGGGGCTTTTGTTTTGTGTCTCTGTGTTTCTTTTTCCAAATACAGAGTTAACTCCCAAGAGCGTGTACCCAAATACCAGCTTTGTGCAGGTTCTTGAAATGTCTGTTTGTGCAAGTTCTTGAAATGTCTGTTTGTAGCAAGACTCAGTCCAGGTGCCACCCACTCTGGGAACCCTTCCTCCTAGTCTTGGGCTGAACGAATTGTCCCTTTTCTGTCTTGCGCAGTCCCTGTATACCCCTCCAGCAGAGCGTCTGTCATACTCTACTGACATTGTCTATTTTTTGCCTGCCCAATCTCTATGGTGAAACTCCTAGAAGACAGGGACCATGGCTGACCTGCTCTCAGCATCCCAGCACCCATAATGTTCAGAATCTGTGTGTGGACTGGGCTGGCCTGGCTTCACACACTCCCAGTAAGATATTTCACTCTCAGTGGTTACACATCCCTACGCCCACCACCCTCTCTGGAATGTGGGGTAAACCAACTCATACACTAAGGGGCTTTTCTCTTGGGGTCATCACCCAAGGACCCTCCTCTGGCCGGCAGAAGCTTGCTCTAACCCTGAAGATGGAGGCAGCCTGGGATACAGGGCGTGGGCAGCCCCCTGGCTGACCCCCACTGCACCCTCCACCGCAGGGACGTCCCTCCTCTTTTCCGTACTTTCTGGCCCTGGCGCGAACCTTGTTGGCGCCAATGGGCTTTTAATATTTTCCATTCCTGGCTGGGATACAACATTTCACCTCAAAAATGCTTCCTCCCCCTCACCAAAGGGTGTGTCTTTCCAGTGAGAGGAACCGGAGGCTCGATGTGGAGGTTCTGGACCCACCGGTATTCTCGGGCTTGGAGGAGCCACAGTCCAGCCCTGGAGAAAGAGGTGGCAGAAATGTCTTCCCAGCCAATGAAGTGAGTTCCCAGGCCTGCCTGAGGCCTCCTGGACCCACAGGAAGCCTGGATCCTCAGTGACAAAGCAGGGGGCCACCTGCTTACTTCCATGTGAGACTCAGCCCCTGCCCTCCACTTGCCCTCTGACCTTGGCCAAGTGGCTTCACCTCTCTGAGCCCCCATGGCCCATCTGAACAGTGGGAATAATGACAATGTCTAGCTTTCAAGGTCCTTGTGGGGCTCTAATGCTGCACATTCAGGTCATCTGAGGAGCTTTAAAACACACCCATGCCCCGCTCAGAGATTCTGATTTAATTGCTCTGGGATAGGGCTTGGATGTTGGTATATTTCAAAAAAACCCTCCAGGTGATTCTCACTCACAATCACAGTTGACAACTAGTGCTTCGATGGGAAAGAACTTTTTCTTTTTTTTTTTTTTTTTTATTTTGGAGTCTCGCTCTGTTGCCCAGACTGGAGTGCAGTGGCAGAGTCTTGGATCCCTACAACTCCCACCTCCCAGGTTCAAGCGATTCTCCTGCCTCAGCCTCCCAAGTAGCTGGGATTACAGGCATGCACCACCACGCCCAGCTAATTTTTATATTTTTAGTACAGGCGGGGGTTTCACCATGTTGGCCAGGCTGGTCTTGAACTCCTGACCTCAGGTGATGTGCCTGCCTCGGCCTCCCAAAGAGCTGGGATTACAGGCGTGAGCTACTGCACCCGGCCTGGGAAAGCACTTTCTAAAATGACCTGTACAGGTGCCAGCTGCTGCTTTGACGATCAAGGGTGTCACACCACTCATTTTCCCAAAAATATGACCCCAGGGATGCCCGAAATCCCACTGAAATGTGGTAGAGGGAAAGCACTTTGAAGGGAAGTGAGGGGTCCTCCAGGTGAATTCTGTGACTTCAGGATTCCCACCGGCACACAAGCAGGTGTCTCAGAGCCACCAGGCAAGGACCCAACACACCTACCCTGCCAACCCCTTCTGCTGGATAGGCTAGGTCCTCTCCAAAGAGCATCCGGGCTTGCAGCTGACCAACAGCCTGCTATCCCCAGCCACTCTCCCCAGATCCTGGAGAGTGGGTTGTGGGGTCAAGGTCACTCTGTTCTCTTTTTTATCTCCTTCACTGCACTTGGAGGTAAAGGGCAGCAGTCACTAAAGAATTAAATGTGGGCCGGGAGCCATGTCTCATGCCTGTAATCCCAGCATTTTGGGAGACCGAGGCAGGTGGATCACCTGAGGTCAGGAGTTCGAGACCAGCCTGGCCAACATGGTGAAACCCCGTCTCTACTAAAATACAAAAAATTAGCCAGGCATGGTAGTGGGCACCTGTATTCCCAGCTACTTGGGAGGCTGAGGCAGGAGAATTGCTTGGGCTACAAAGTGAGACTCCATCTCAAAAAACAAAAACCAAAGAATTAAAGTGGAGAGAACCAGTTGTCTGTGCTGGGGGAGGAGAGGGTGTTTGGGTGCCTCGTGGAGAGAGTCAACATCTCCTTTCCTCCTCTTGAAGAGAGAGGAACTGCAGACAGTTCCACAGCCCAGAGGAAGGAAAACAGCTGAGAGCCAGGCGCCTTCGGAAAAGGCAGCAGAGAGCCCCACTGGCTGAAGATGCTCAGTCTCTCACCATGACCAGTGTGTCCACCTGCCCCGGTGCCATATCCCAGAGTTATCATGTTATTACACAGAGGAAAGAACAGCCTCTGTCCAGGGGAGGCATAGCCCCTGTCTCGGGGAACTTCACCCAAAGGCCAGGCCCCCAGGAGAGGGCCAGAACCCTCAGTGTCCCAGGCCCAAGGTTCTTCAATAAGATTATTTAACAGACATGGGGACTAGAGACTCCCGTGGGAGACTTCAGCCCCAGAGGAAGTGGCTGTCTTCCTCAGGCAAACTATGGTTGAGAAACAGGAGCTTTCTGGAGACACTATTTTTCAAAGGGTTTCTCACAGCCCTGTGTCCCAGGCTCCAGGCCAGAGGTGGAAAGGAGAGGGAGGGAGTGATGGGGAGCATGGTGCAGGGCACCGCACAGAAGGCAGGAAGGAGGGGAGGGTCAGCAGTGCCACCAGACCGAGCCCCAAATGAGGGGGAGTCCAGGAGACAAGGCTTGCACAACCCACCACCTTGGGGTAGTCCCGGTGCCACCCAGGCTCAGAGGGCACACTGAAAGGAGGGTACATTGAAAACTATGGGCACAGGGGAACTCAGGTCCCCTGGGCTGGGCTGTGGCCTCTATTGAAGCACCTACAGCCTCAGCAAGGCCAAGAACAGGGAACTACTGAGCCTGAAAACAATTTCAGTCTCATCAAGTCTGCCCCCAGTCCCAGGTAACGCTCAGGCTTTGCAGCCAAATGCGGATTCAACCTGCCTCTACCACATGTAAGCTGCATTCACTCATTCATCCTACAGTTAAAAAATTTTTTTTGTTTTGTTTTTGAGAAAGGATCTGGCTCTGCCATCCAGGCTGGAGTGCAGTGGTGTGATCATGGTTCACTGCAGCCTCAACCTCCTAGGCCCAAGCAGTCCTCCCACCTTAGCCTCCAGAGTAGCTGGGATCACAAGTACACCACCATGCATAGCTAATTTTTTATTTTTTATTTTTTGTAGAGACAGGGTCTTGCTACTTCACCTAAGCTGGTCTCGAACTCCTGGGCTCAAGCAATCCCCCTGTCTCAGTCTCCCAAAATGCTGGGATTACAAGCCGGAGCTGCTGTACCCAGCCCCCTACAAATTTGTTTTGTTTTGCTTTTTCCCCCATCTTCTTTGTGATAGTAAACAAATATTTTTAGCTTCTGCTATGTGCCAGGCCCTGAGCTAGGTGCTGGGGGTACAGAAAAGAACAAAGTAGGCTGGGCGTGGTGGCTCACGCCTGTAATCCCAGCACTTTGGGAGGCCAAGGTGGGAGGATCACCTGAGGTCGGGAGTTCGAGACCAACCTGACCAACATGGAGAAATCCTGTCTCTACTAAAAATATAAAATTAGCCAAGCATGGTGGTGCATGCCTGTAATCCCAGCTACTCGGGAGGCTGAGGCAGGAGAATCACTTGAATCCGGGAGGTGGAGGTTGCGGTGAGCCAAGATTGTGCCATTGCACTCCAGCCTGGGCAACAAGAGCGAAACTCCGTCTCAAAAAAAAACAAAAACCAAAATAACAAAAAGAACAAAGTACCTTTGAGGAACTTACCCCATCACTGGGGAGATGGAATGGTCACTATAGAACACTAAGGTAAACGTAAGGACAATAACATGCATGGGTTAGTGTGGAGTACCTGTTTTGGGCCCCCTCTGGGGCATCGTTCTGAGGGCGGCTCTCAGGGAAGGCTTCCTGGAAGAGGTATAATCATTTGAGTTTAAAAAAACGAATGGCAGGGCTCACTTCGGCAGCACAGATACTAAAACTGGAATGATACAGAGATTAGCATGGCCTCTGCACAAGCATGACATACAAATCTGTGAAACGTTCCATATTTTAATAAGAAAAACAGGCCAGGCACAGTGGCTCGTGCCTATAATCCCAGCACTTTGGGAAGCCGAGGCAGATGGATCACCTGAGGTCAGGAGTTCTAGACCAGCCTGGCCAACATGGCAAAACCTAATCTCTACTAAAAATACACAAAATTAGCCGGGCATGGTGGCACGTGCCTATAATCCCAGCTACTCAGGATGCTGAGGCAGGAGAATTACTTTTTTTTTTTTTCTTGAGACAGAGTTTCACTGAGTCACCCAGGCTAAAGTGCATTGGCATGATCTTGGCTCACTGCAACCTCTGCCTCCTGGGTTCAAGTGATTCTTGTGCCTCGCCCTCCCAAGTAGCTGGGACTACAGGCCCACCACCACTCCCAGCTAATACTTGTATTTTTAGTAGAGACGGAGTTTCACCATGTTGGCCAGGCTGGTCTCGAACTCCTGACCTCAAGTGATCTGCCCATCTCAGCCTCCCAAAGTGCTGGGATTACAGGCGTGAGCCACCACAGCTGGCCTGTGTTTTTAAGCCCGTAAGACATTGTTATTAATGTTAATACAACATCTGTTTAGACTTACCCATGCATGTACCACTTTGTTCTATGTTCCTTCTTGTCTCTCATTTTTTCCATCTAGGATCACTTTTTATTTCTGTCTGCTGGTGGGCGAATACAGTTTTTGTTTGTATCATGTCATTATTTTTTCTCACTCTTAAGATATCTTTTCACTGATTTTAGAATTCTCTTAAACAAATTCTAGTGTCAATGAATTCTTACTTATTGTTTGTACCTACATTTGTATCCTCCAGCTGCTGTGCCAGTGTACACTACACCGTCACCTACCTCCTAAAGCACATAGCAAAAGAGGGCAAGGCGGATGGGCATGGTGGCTCAACACTGGTAATCCCAGCACTTTGGGAGTGACATTTTTCTCTTAAGAATAGGGAAATTGAGATAGGCATTTTCCTTTTCAGTCTGTTAGGAGGTAATGGTGTTTATATGTAGCTCACACATTCACTGGAGTCCCAGTTTTAGGTTTTTTAGACTTCCCACCTTAGAGGAGCCCCGAGTTTCTCTCAGTAGTGTGTGTTGGAGTTTGCGCCTATCAGCTCACAAGAACCAAATATTTTTCGTTCCTGTTCTTCGTACCACTAATGGCTTGAAATCTACGGTGGGAACATTTACTTAATGGAAATCAACAAAAACTAAAACACTAAAATATATGTTTACAATATTGTGCTTATAGTTAATACTGAACCGTACACAAAACAGTGCTTTGTTTTGTTTTGTTGGAGAGCCAGTTACTGTCACACCACTGGTTCTCTCCAATCACTCACTCCCATGAGACCATGAAAATTCAAGTTCAAGTTTACTGAGTTAAAAGTTACTCACCGGACCAGGTTCAGTGGCTCACACCTATAATCCCTACACTTAGGGAGGCAGAGGCAGAAGGTTAGCTTGAGCCCAAGAGTTAGAGAACTGCCTGGACAACATAGCAAGACCCCATTCTCCACAAAAAGAAAACACAAACAGATAAATAAATAAATAATGGGCTGGGTGCAGTGGGTCACACCTGTAACTACAGCACTTTGGAAGGCTGAGGAGGGAAGATCACGTGAGAACTAGAAGTTCAAGACTAACCTAGCCAACATAGTAAGATGGGGAAACCCACCTGCCATGCTGTGAGGACACCTAGGCCACAGAGAGAGAGTAAGGCCACATGTAGGTGTTGCAGCCAAAAGCCCACTGAAAACCAAGCCTGCAACCAGCATCAACTGCCAAACATGTACTGAAGAGGTTGAGATGATTCCAGCACTTGTGGATGACTGCAACCATAAGAGAGACCCGGAGCAAGAGCTACCTATCTGGGGTTTTTTTTTTGTCTCTACAAAAACAAAAACAAAAACAAAAAAACAGTTGGGCATGGTGGTGCCACTGCACTCCAGCCTGGGCAACAGAGCAAAACCTTGTCTCAAACAAAAAAAATTTTTTTTTTTTTTTTTTTTTTTTTTTTTTTTTTTTTTTTTTGAGACGGAGTCTCGCTCTGTCGCCCAGGCTGGAGTGCAGTGGCGTGATCTCGGCTCACTGCAAGCTCCGCCTCCCGGGTTCACGCCATTCTCCCGCCTCAGCCTCCCAAGTAGCTGGGACTACAGGCGCCCGCCACCACGCCCGGCTAGTTTTTTGTATTTTTAGTAGAGACGGGGTTTCACCATGTTAGCCAGGATAGTCTCGATCTCCTGACCTTGTGATCCACCCGCCTCGGCCTCCCAAAGTGCTGGGATTACAGGCTTGAGCCACCGCGCCCGGCCAAAAAAAATTTTTTAAGTTTAAAATTTACAAAAATTAAAATGATAAAGTTTCAGTCATGCAAGATGAATAAGTTCTAGAGATCTGCTGTACGTATTGTGTTTATAGTTAATACTGAACTGTACACTTAAAAACTTGTTAAGAGGAGCTGGGCACAGTGGCTCATGCCTGTAATCCCAGTACTTTGGGAGGCCAGGGCAGGCAGATCACTTGAGGCCAGTTCAAGACCAACGTGGCCAACATGGAAAATCCCATCTCTACAAAAAATACAAAAATGAGTGGGACATGGTGGCACGTGCCCGTATTCCCAGTTACTCAGGTGGCTGAGGCACGAGAATCGCTTGAGCCTGGGAGGTGGAGGTTGCAGTGAGCCGAGACTATGCCACTACACTCCAGCCTGGGTGACAGAGCAAGACTATATCACAAAATTTTTTTAAAAAAATTAAAATTGTGACTAGGTTAGACAATAAAAAATAAAAATAAAATAAAAATGTCCAAAAGGCAAAAGTCACTTTCATTGCTCAACTTGCCTTTGAATTCGTGACTTGTTTGGCCTGAGTATTCCTTACTTTCTTGCCAGCTCATCAGTGCATCAAAAAATAAATACATTTTTATTTTATCCATAATTGTTTTCAGAAGTTTATTCAGGGTACTTAGTCCACTTTAGTACATAAAATATCTTAGTATCTTAATGTAGATATTGAAATAGTTGGACTAGATCAGTAGTTCTTAACATTTTTTGGACACAGACTCAAGAATCTGATAACAGAGCTTGGATAACGTCTCCTCGGGAAAATGCACATATACACAGATAAAATGTTGTATGTTTTTACTCCCCTGAAACTATCCATGGGCCCAAGAATAAGAAGGTTGCCCAGGTTGGTCTTGAACAAATGGCCTCAAGAGATCCTCCCACGTCTGCCTCCAAAGCACTGAGATTACTGGTAGGTGTGAGCCACTGCATCAGGCTCAGAGCTAACTTCTGACAGCCTCGCCATGTTTCCTGTCCTGAGTTGAGAGTTTCTGGGAGTCTCTCCTTGGGTGAACCTGAGTTTCTGAATTGGGCCTTCCAGAATCTCCAAGACTTCTTGGGGGAGAAGCTGAGAGTTGTCAATGAAACCTTTCACAAAGCTAAAATACATGCAATGTTCCTTCAACCAGACCTATCCAAATTTATTCATTCAGTGTTTATTGGCTCCTGTTCCAGCTATCTACTGCTGCATAATACATTATATGTAAACTTAGTGGCTTATAGAGTAATAACAATCAATTACATATTTCTCTCATGATTCTGGGAGTAACTGGGCCCAGCTAGATGGCTTTTGCTCCGGGTCTCTCTTGCGGTTGCAGTCAGCCACAAGTGCTGGAATCATCTCAGCCTCTTCAGTACATGTTTGGCAGTTGATGCTGGTTGCAGGCTTGGTTTTCAGTGGGGCTTTTGGCTGCAACACCTACATGTGGCCTTACTCTCTCTATGTATGTGGCCTGGGTGTCCTCACAGCATGGCAGGTGGGTTCTGAAAGGGAGCATCCAAAAAGAGTTTTAAAAAACTTAAAAAGGGCCGGGCGCGGTGGCTCAAGCCTGTAATCCCAGCACTTTGGGAGGCCGAGGCGGGTGGATCACGAGGTCAGGAGATCGAGACCATCCTGCCTAACACAGTGAAACCCCGTCTCTACTAAAAATACAAAAAACTAGCCGGGCGTGGTGGGGGACGCCTGTAGTCCCAGCTACTCGGAGGCTGAGGCGGGAGAATGGCGTGAACCCGGGAGGCGGAGCTTGCAGTGAGCCGAGATCGCGCCACTGCACTCCAGCCTGGGCGACACAGCGAGACTCCGTCTCAAAAACAAAAAAAAAAAAAACAAAAAAAAAAAAACAAACAAACTTAAAAAGGAGCCAGGTGCAGTGGCTCATGCCTGTAATCCCAGCACTTTGGGAGGCCGAGGTGGGCGGATCATGAGGTCAGGAGATCGAGACCATCCTGGCTAACATGGTGAAACCCCATCTCTACTAAAAATACAAAAAAAAAAAAAAAAATTAGCCAAGCATGGTGGTGGGTGCCTGTAGTCCCAGCTACTCGGGAGACCGAGGCAGGAGAACAGTGTGAACCTGAGAGGTGGAGTTTTTAGTGAGCGGAGATCGAGCCACTGCACTCCAACCTGGGCGACAGAATGAGACTCCATCCCCCCCAAAAAATTAAATTAAATTAAAATTTTAAAAGAGGGTGAGCCAGAAGGAAGCCATATTACCTCTTAGAACCTAGCCACGGATGTCACACAGCATTTCTGCCACATTCTGTTAATTAGATACAAGTCATTAGACCAGCCCGTATTTAAAGGAAAGTCAGTTAGATTCTACCTCTTGATGGAAAGGATGTCAAAAAATTGGCTGGTCAGGCATGGTGACTCATACCTGTAATCCCAGCACTTTGGGAGGATGAGGTGGGAGGTTTGTTTGAGCCCAGGAGTTCAACACCAGCCCAGGCAACATGATGAAATCCTATCTCTACCAAAAAAAAAAAAAATATATATATATATATATACATATATATATACACACACAAAAAAATTAGCTGGGCATGGTGGTATGTGCCTGTAGACCCAGCTACTTGGGAGGATGAGGTGGGAGGATCACCTGAGCCTGGAGTTGAGGGGGCAGTGAGCCATTTCATTGCTCAACTTACCTTTGATTCATGATGGCATCACTG